TATAGATGAACTAAACGCCTTTTCGAGATTTTATTATTTTTATTGAATTTGCTGTGCTCCAAAATATTGCGCAAGTATCAGCTTATTGTTAAGTTCTCGTATGAGATCTCATGCTAAAGAAAATTATTGCTTCTTTCAATTGCCCTTCCCCTTCGGAAGCCGATTTGCTACAGTTTTTTTTAATTAAGAATTTCATATCGGTGGTAGAAATCTTCAGAGAAGTTCGATCGGGTTACTACTTAAATTCTTTTCTTCTCGCGAGGAGAATTTCTCTTTAACGTCATTTTATGTGGTTTGAAAAATGTCACATTTGCACTTCTCACCAGTTTGAAACGTAGTTAAGTGCTCCGCGAAAACTTGTCTGAAGACTACATAAGAGTTTTGAATTCACTGAGTTCATTGAGTTTTGGTCTCATCTGCAGAAAGGCTGAGAAATTAATTTCTTTTTTCATTTTCATCGTGATATATAATTCTTAAAGGCAAAGTTCGGGCTCAGACCCACTTAATGAGCCTTTACGGTGGCTAGAAGCGCTAGGTACGCAAGTGCAGAGGTCGCGTCACTTCCCTACTTCGAAAAGCGTTACTTAGACGCTAGGCGCTAAGAACTTTGACACGCTCCACCTGTTGCGACACGCTCCGCCCACCGCTCGATATCTTGTCTGCGTCGCTAATGTTGATCTGCTATGCTCTCTCTACTCGTACTTCTCTAGCGCTCTCCGCGCTCACATTATCTCTCATCTCCCTGCCGGCCTTTTGAACTTCTCCGCAGCGTAGAGCAAAAGGCTCGTATTTCCTGTGTATTTCATTTTTTTTCCTTTTTTCTCCACTGGCGGTCCACCTCCTACCCCTACTTTCACATTTGAGTGGAATTACCTCATAATTTAATCCTGAATCTTGCTTTAACCTCCTACGAGGGAAATAAAGAACAGAACAAGGCAGAAGAAGAACATTAATATTACAACAATGCCGAAGTTCGACGAAGAGAGAATTTGGAATTTAGCGAACCCTCAATTTTTTATTGACAAAAATTAAATTCTATAGATCTGTCGATCAATGAGAATTGGAAAGTCGGTCCGAAGACGGAGAAGGAAAAATACTTCATATAAACACCACAGAAATTCCTTCGAACTTCCTTTAAAGCTGTAAAATGTCTTGCCTGGGCACTGAGTATAATATACTA